GATCGATGAGGGCTTGCGAAGCCTGATTGCCCTGTAAAAGGTTCCTTAGGGCGAAGATGGCATGTTCGCGAATGTCTTAGGTCGGAAGGGAGAAGAAAACAAGAAGACAGAGAGCAGCGTGAGTGCGGGCATTGCCTGCAATTGCGCGCCGCAAGACGTTCCAGACAATGTGCGCTGGACCGCTAGCTACTCACAAGGATTGTTTTCGTCCAATTGAGTCATATTAAGCACATCTAGTAGTCCGCCGCTCTCTCTGACCGCATCCTGCACCCTCTTCGTCCTCGACAAGCCGGCCATTCGCGCTGTTCGATCCTGCTCAGTCTTCCGTGCAGACGCGCTAGAAGCAGGTTCCACAAAACTCATGACGCCCAGCAAGCGCACGAGGTCTCTTTTCAAATTTTGTAATCCTCCCCCTCCTCGATCCGCCTGCTTGGTCTGCTCGAGCTCGACAAAGGTTGAACGACTTTGGCCCGTCGAGGTCAGCACGTGACCTTCGGGTGCTGATGCCACCGAATCGTCGCTAGCGACGATGTTCTGAAATGGCGAGATTGCGGGACTGAATTTGGACGTCGAGTGCAGCAGCTCTACATCGACACCAGCAGGGTGACAAGGGTTGAGCAGAGAGAAAAGACCCACGCTACAGCTCTTATGTTGGCCCGCCCAGCACGAATCGAGCGCTGCGAATGCCTGATGACCGAGTGACTCACCAACGACGCCTCGCACACTTTCCTCCTTCGAGACTGTTTCAAGAACCTGGCTAGACTTGTCTTGGAATCGGTCGCCACGACTGATCGCCTCGTCTTGTGCTGACACACTCTCAGCGGCTGCAATACAGAGATGGATCAAGCACTGCAAATGCAGTATCAAGCCCGTGTGTGCCTGAACGAGCTGACTGTGCTGGATCGTCCTAACAGCGTCCGAAGCGATAGCCTCACGGGCCGACAGGCGACGCATCAGTCTGACGCTGTAGGCCGCGAGATTTGTGAAGCTGCTGACCAGGTAGACAAGATCGGACCGTGAATCTTGTCCAGTATCGTCGGACGCCGATTCGACCGACGGAGAGTCGGGTGGTGAATACGAGGAAGCGCCACTCGAACTGCCATGGACCAAGTACGCATCAAACATTTGCAACAGCGCTATTTGTCGTGCGTTGAAAGGCGGATCCTCTTCCTCCAGCTCGTTCGCCGGCGGTGCGCCAGTCGAAGAGGTCGTCTGGAGACCTTTGAGAAGTCGTCCACACAGTCCGCTAGAGAAGATGATGCTGAACATTTCGTAGCTGCGATGGCAGGCACGAAGAGTCCTTTGGTGAACCACGAGAGCCTTGCGAATCAGTAGTGTACTTCCGCACTTACGCTATGGCGATACTGTCTGGCAGATCCGAGGGGCTCGTATCAGGCTGAGCGTCTGCCTGCAAGTCAGCGGCTGCATTGCGAAGGACTGTCCCAAGCAGTGCGCAGCCCTGCTGAGTCAATGCTAGCCCGTAGCTGTGAGGAGCAGGAGAGCACAAAGTTAGCTGACTTGGGGGGTCCAAAACCAGTTCTAGGGCTGCACCTCTAACCTTCTTGCTGGCTTGGAAAGGAGCAAATTGTCCAAGACGATTTCGACTGCCGCGCGTGCACCCTTGCTTTGTAATTCGAGCAGACGGCTGTGTGATTGGGCATTGAGAGGAATGAGCAGCGGTTCGCGCAGTGAATCCAACGCGGAGTTTCGCAGTGGCCCGTCTCGTCTCGTGTGACTCACATGAACAAGTCTACGAAACCAACTTCGCGCAGCTTTGAGGGTCCTTCTACCTCCGGGGAGTCGAGTCCCATGCGCCGCCACAGGAGCTCAGCCGTCGACTCGTTGTTGGTGATGCAATTTGCGAAGGCTTGCATGAGGGCCTGACAAAGCAGCACGGCTGCATCGAGTATT